GGAGAAACAGATACTTCCACAATGAATTGCTAATTCCCTCTGCTCAGCAACTGTCAGAACCAGATAACAAAAAGATCAGTAAAAACACAGAGGATCTGATAACACTGTCCACTACCTTGATCTGACATTTCTAAAATACTATACAACCGACAGCAGAATACATATTTTCAGGAACATGTGGTATGTTGACCAAGAAAGACCATATTCTGGGCCATAAATTCAAGATCAAAACAAGGAGAAAAACCACTATAAACTGCAACATTTCACTGCCTCTCCTAAAAAACAAAACAAAACTTTTTGGTAAAGTAAACGTAACTCTTCTTTCCCTATAGAGGGTAACAGGTGATGCTTACTTCAATTACAGGTGCTCGAAAATGCTCAAACAATGCTTAACAAATAAATCAATAAATTCGGACACCTTGCTCAGGTTGTATGAACAGCCTCAGGGAACCCCAAAATAAAGATAACTAAAAATGAAAGTTTTCAAATATTCAGTACAGTTTTGAAAAATGCAGGATTTATTTAAATCTACATTTATGGATTTAATTATGGTTGTTCAAATACTTTATTCTATTATGTTTCTTAGGTTCCTTCCTTTTTGGAACCATTTTTCTAGTATTTCTATTAATCTGATTTTAAGTCTGGAACACTGAAGTCCCTAAGGAAACAAGGCTTAGACTCAATTTCCATGGCAACTCTAAATCCATCACACTATATTTGTATATGGGATTTTGATTTAAATATATTAATATATGTGAATTTGCAATGTGTCTAAGCTGTGGTTGCCATAGGAACTGCACCTTCAAATTTCCTTTTAGGGTTAGTTAAGTGCTCACACATAAAAACTGATCCCCTCACAGCTGTTGCAGATACGGCTCACAGCAACATGTCTACAAACACCATGACTCATGATGATATATGTACTTACTAGGGTATCTATCATTATGAAAATGTATATTTTAATACATATTCCTTGTTGGTAGATCAAAAGCAATTCAAGATATAATTCCTCCAAATGTAGATAGAGTAAGACTTGCCAGGCAGCTATCCACACTTACCTGACAGCCTCTGTGTGTGCTGATGCAGGTACAGTCGAGGTAAGTCACCCAACTACACACAGACACTAATGGGCTCTATGACTTCTCTGAATCCATAGAACATCTCATGTCTGTACTGAAATGTGAGAAAAATCTAGCACATTCTCACTAAAACAGAATGAACCAAATATGTGGAGTGCAACCATTTTATATTTTATACACAAGCAACCAACCTACAGTGCATGGCCATACATGTAAATAGTCTGTATGTAGCAGAAAATGTTTTCTTGCCAAGGTAGACAGTCCTTTCTTAACGATCAACATGTGGACAATCCATTCATTCCATGATCACTTTTTCACTTTAATATAATCCCTTTGCCACAGATGCTCTAGAGCTTCCACTTACACAACTTAATTTTAATATTAATCTAAGGAAATACCTTGGGAGAGAGAAATCCACTGCAAAATGAATCAAGTATTCCAAAGCCAAAATGAAAAAAATAATTAAAGACCATCTTATGTTCCATTTTCAATTATACCAACCATTGCTTTTGTCCACTAATGTAGATAATTCAGAAATGACCAAAGCCAGGGGTGGGAACGGAGATTACTGCTGAATGCTACTGACCTGGCATCGCTGTGCGAGAACGGTGACAGAGCGATGGCGATTTCCCAGACGGCTGACCCTCACCCTCATCAACCACTTTCCTTTGCCTTAAATTTTGGATGGACAAAATCACACTCATGTATGGAGAGGGTGGCCTTTAATGATTTCAGACCAGAGGCAGGGAGACCAGTTTAGAAACTGTAAAGTAGTTCATGGGGGAGATGATTACAAATAGAAATGAAAAAGAATCAAGAATTGGAAGGGAACCCTGAGGGCTACTGAGATGCATGGAGCTATTAGATGCTGTAATAAAGACCTCAGGCTTCTGGGCTCTTCAGTAAGGCTTTGGTAAGTATTTTTGGCTCTTCTTGTACTTCCTATAGATATCAGTGTACTCCTTATCCCAATAAGTTATGTTCTGAGAAACCATATCCCATGTTTGTTATAATTATCCAATATGTCTAAATTAAGCAAGTAGATGCTAGATAAATATCTTAGGAACTCTCTTGTGTGTAAAGAGTAAAGTACATGAATTTATAGCAGGTTTTATAACACCTATTTTGACTCATAGAAGACATTCTGGCTTACATTTTTTTAAACCATATTCCCGAGAGTTGGATCTATGACCTTTAGAAAAATGAGGTCCTTCCTGTACTTACACGACCCTTTCTAGTATAGCTTTTAAAACAACATTCTGCATATACTGTATACCTTGCTGTAATTTTTTCCATAGTTTTACTACCCCACAATGTCCAAAAGTTATAACATATTTTATCAAAAAGGGTATGACCGATTTGGCTTCTGCAAATATCCTTTCTCCGTGATTAAGGCCAATGAGGTAAATACAGTCAAGATATCAGGGACCCATGTCTCAGGAATTACTGCCTTCTGGAACATTAAAAACCAAATTTATTTTCTGTTGACATTAATGAGTTTCCTGAGCTTTAAGCTCTGGAAAAAATATATGTCTCCTTCAGGTTCATGCACATTCTTTCTATCAAAATGGTACAAGTGTCCCTGTGGCTTTTGTGAAGACAGATGAGGGAATTCCTAGAAGACGAGGCCCAGGCAGTCTAATGACAGCTCTGTTTGAGGGAGTCGAAGAGCTGGTGCCAATTTAAGGACACATTGTAATTGTGGAAGACAAATATTCTGAGGCTTGTCCAATTACACTACTTAAAACTTGGAAAAGTTACTGCTGAGTTTCAAGTATCATTAACAGCTACAGAAGACAACCTTACAATGAGAAGTAACAGCCACCTTCGGTTCTTTCACCTTCCCGTTCTCCCCCCGCCCCGACCTGCCTGCTGAATCCCTAACTGCAGAAAACCCACCACTCCTCTTGCCCAGCGCCTGGACTGATACAAGTTTCTGACAAAAGTTCAAGGCCAATTTGAACGGTCATAAATTTTTGTTCCTCAAACTCCTTGTGGCTTAATTTTTACCGGACTTCTCCCCAGTGCTTCCTCTCTAAACTTTTACTGATGCTGTTAACCTCATTTTTTCCCCCTCCAGCTTCAGGTTCATGCTCCACCAATTTCCCCTCCTTTTTCCACTTTCAATTATTCCTTCCCCATGGACCTTTCTCCAATCTTACAAACCTGCTCGCAGTGCCTTGCCCTAAAACAGATCAAGGACATTACCATTCTCCTTCCAACTTTCCTTCCAGAAGCTGTCAGCTTTTCCCCTGACATCAACAAAATGTCTCCATTTTTCTGGTTTTTTTTCCTGACAAACGTGGTGAAGGTGGAATCTGCTCTTACCACATCATGTTCACACTTGTCATGGCATATGCCCTTGCTCAGGCCCTGCAGTCTAGGTGCACGCAATCAGCATTTTAAGACCGATTCTCTGAAGGATTATTAATCACCTCCTAGGAGTCAGATTTCTTTGGCCTATTTTCAGACCTCATCCTATTTGATCTCTCCACAATTAATAATTCGCACTTTTGGTCACCACTCTCTCTAGAAATTTCCTACTGTTTGTTCTCTGATCCTGAGCTTCCTTGGTTTTCCCCCAACGTTTATCTCTTTCTTAGCTTCCTTTTTCCCTCTTGTCTTTTGAATGTATGTATTCCCAAAGATCTGTGCTTAGTTTATTTCTTATATGTTTATTCTCCCTATGGTTTCAAAGCTGGATTTTTTATGCAGTTTCAATTTCCTTCTTCTATTTCCTCAACCCACTCCTGGTCCCATCATTCCATGGAGTGACTTCCATGTTCAGAAATCCAATGGACTCTCCCAGTCCTCGTTGTACTTGACTCCTCAGCAGACTGAGATGTTATTGGCCACTCTGCTCCCTTCCTTCTGCTTCCCTGACACATCATGCCCTCGTTTCCTTCAGTCTTTCTGCCATTGTCTCTGCTCCTACGCAAGCCCTTCTTTTTCTACCCGGACATTAATGCTAGAGCTCCTCGTGGCACTCACTCCTTCTCGGTGCTCATTTCCAGCCTCAACTGCATGGATATATGGATGACCCACAAGTGTTTACCTCTAGTCTATACTTCTTTGCATTCCATGTGCATGCATTGTTTAATATTAGTATTGCCATAACCATTTCTAACTCATTCTGATTGGAGGTTGGGCATAAATAAGAAATTTGAAGTCTTTACAGAATTAAGGTAACTGGTTTTGGGGATTTCTGAACAAATGGTTTCTGAGGATTTCATTAGCTGTCCAGTACCACAACTCATGTTTATAATAATGATCCTAATTTTCAAATAACACTTGACTTGGTAAAATTTGTTTCTTAGGGTGAGAATGTTTATAATGTATTTTAGAAAGGGTTTATACACAAAAGTTTTAAAAACTTTAAAGTTCTAGGTATTTATCCTCAATGACTTCACTTTTGGACAAAGCTGGATCAATTTTGCTGCATATCATCACATAAAAATTGGCATTGCCCCTTATAAGAGATAGGATGTAGATTTTATGAACTTTCTTTGAAGGATTATAGATGATTCATACTAGAAACGCATAAGTCAGTTCATATTCTGGTATGTACTGCCAGAAATTAAGCCGTAAAAATATTTCAGTCAAAATCTGAACAGACTTGAAATTTCTCAGAAAAAAAAAAAAGGAAGATGAAATCTATCCCTAAGGTACTATTTTAACACACGGCTTCAGTGATTTAAAGTGAATAGCTCTGGCTTTTTAATAGTTAAATCAGCACTGTTAGACTCACTACAGAGAGATTCCTGCAAGGAAGATAAATGTGGCCAAACAGACAACAATAAAAATTGTCCAGAGGCATTAAGACACTGACTGCTGGGAAGAATCAATTAAACACAGCCAAGCAGGGGAGGGTCTGAGCCATTTGCTAAGATGAAAGTGACTCTGCTTTCACGGTTACTGTACCTGCTGTGGGGGAGTTTGCATGGTGAGACTTTTTTGGCAGGTTGAAGATTTGTTCGCCAGGGTCGGGGGGAGGAATTGCATCTTGCCCTTGTCGTGCTTCTACAGGATCATACTCCTTCCCATCGTAGTTAGCATCATAGAACTTCTTAAACCACTGAATGAAATCCAGGTTGTCCTGGAAACGCCCTTTCACTAGCTTCTCCACTGGAATCACCTGCAATATAAAATCACCGTGTAAGTCACCAACTTAGGGTAAGTCATCAACTTATTTAATATGACTGAAGTGGTCCCTAAATACAACTGCTTCCTCTTACGTGTCTGCAAACCACAACTAGTCGTCTCTCCCCCAGCTTCTTGGCCAGCTGTATTCGAGAATTCATATAACTTTTCATGTTGAAAAAAAAAACCACTAAAATGCTGTAGTTGGTTCTCTTGGGATATTTAATAATTCTGAACAACCCAACAAAACAAGGAATACCCTTAGCTCTTAAGAGGGGCTGGTACGCTTTATAGTATGTTTATTGCCAAAGCATCTCCTCCCAAAACATGGGGCTGGGTGTTACAAGATGGATGGGTTTTCCTTATTTTTTTTGTAACACTTGGTCCAGTTGTGTTGGAATAAACTCTTACAAGGACTATAGCTCTAGAGAGTGTGAGTACATAAGACTCAAATCAATGCAAATAGATACCAATTTAATGGTTCAAAATGAGCTTTCACACAGCTTATTAACAATGTAGAGAGAGAGGCATCAACACAACTAACCACACAGTACAGTGCCCAGTAATTCTTGGGGTCCCCAGGAACACAGCTAACGTGCCACGGGAATGCAGAGGAAAAGAAATGAAGGCTGACTGGGGGAAGTCATGGAGGGCACTCTGGAGGAGGTGCACAGCATTCACCTTGACTTCTGAGGCGAGTCTCGTCTCAGCTTTTCCTTTCCTACTGGCAACTTAAAAAACCAATCAGTATTCCCTTCAGGGGTCTTACTGGAATTTTCATTTTATTTCAGAAATGTGCGGTGTGACTGTTTACCTTTAATTCAGTGGGGAGCAGCTATTTTTGAAGGGAAATGAAAAGGTGCCTAGCTATCCAAACTGCACCATTTCCAGATGCCTACTTTCTCATCCTTGAGTTGGAATACTAGTTGAACATGAGCCATGAGAGTTATGAAAGCTAGGGAGTGAGTCAAACTGTGTGTGTGAGGGTGAGATTCAAACAGAACCCAGTGCTGAAGGAACACAGCTTCACTGTGTAATGAAATGAATGGGAATTGTATAAATTAAATTTTAAGGAAGACTCTGTCACCTTAGGAGCTACATACCATTCCTATCATAAGATGGACCATTAGGACCACTTTAAAAAAGTGGGAAGACCTCAAATATCAATGACAACTTGAAAGAAAAAAAGTAACTGAAGCATTTTAGGTCATCCATTAAACTAAATTATTAGCAATGCATTTTTTCAAAAATGATTTTTATGTACCTACAATTGAAACTAAGAGCAGGAAAAAGAAAAAGTAAAGAGAAGCAGCCTTTTGGAGGAGACCACATTTTTCAAGAACTCTTCCAGTAATGGGGACTCAGCTGCTGATATCTTTTTTCTTCTTACTTCTCTCTAATTTCAGGGAAGTCTGCCCAATGGAAGAACTCCTTCCATATATGCACTTAATTGACTTTTCATTGTACTGTTTAAATATTTTCATGTATTCTGATTTATAGGTTTTGTTTATGCGGATATTGATTATTTAAGAGAGTGCCTTCTTAGAACACAATGCCATTTAATTGACACACTGCATATTTTGGTTTCTGCCAAACATGAAAATTTATAAACAGATTTAGATGCTGCTGCTTCATTAGCCATTCAAAGTAGACACTTAACTTCTGTTAATCTTGTTTTGCCTATCAAACTGACAGTTCCGGGCTTAAGTTCAAAATCTGAGTTTGCCAGCTAATCTGTGCACAGAAGTCTCCTTCGTGCTGTCAGGCTCTGACAAACGTGAAGAGGGACCACTGTTCCTCTCCAAGGACCTTGGGGTAGAATCACAGCATTTTAAGCTAGAGGCCAATGTAGGCCATCAAGGCCAATCTTCCTCCACTACAAGAATTTTATCTTTGATATTCCTAACAATGGCTCATCTAGAGGTATATACATACAGAGCCCCTAAATTGTTATTTAGCATGTTCCATCAATAAACGTATAAAAGGGTGTTCTTTTCTTTTCAGGCTAGAAGCATGTATTGAAAGATGAAGAAAAAGCTTTAAGTGATTCTGCTAAGAAGAAGAACCCGTGCAGCTCTGGTACTGAAGGAGCTAAGTGGGAATTAAAGTTGAAAATAATTCAAAAGGTTAAGATGTTAAAGAGAATATTTTTTGAAATAAAAATTCTGAGAAAATGGGAAACCAGTGTTTTAATAATATTTTGATGAGAATGTTTTGATTTAGAAAGATATAAATTGCATTAAAATACATAGTTTGCCAAACTTTTCTCTTTTCCTTTATTTAACCTCTATTTCTTAATAACCCAGGACTTTATTTTTTTTATTTCCATAGTCTATTGCTATTTATGCAAAAAAAGTTTTCCATTTCTCCCCTGCTCGTTCAGTTCTTTTTCCTTATTCAAAATTACTTCCCAAGCCTATTCCCTCTAAGAGATATATCCTAAAGAAATAATATGAATTGAATATGTATATGAAGAGCAAGAAACATGCAAATTGTGTGGACTTTTGCAACAGCCCTTTCTTTGGGCGGGGGAGGAGGGAACGGGGTCTAACTTCATTTGTATCACTCTATGACAAAATTATAAAATTCAAAGGGGAAAAAGGACAATTTATGGACACTAACTGAGAATCTCAGTGTATATACTATGCTGGTCATTTTTACATATATTTCCATACTTTAGCTTCATATAACTACAGGGAAGAGGTTTTAGTCCTGTTTTATAGATAGGTGAACTGAGACTCAAAGAATTTAACTAACTTGCCCAACTCATGAAGCTGGGATTTAAACCTATGTTGCTTCCACTGTAACCTGATGTTTTACCAAAGTAACAAAATAGACAAAGAACCACAGTAACATCTGGCAAATATAAACATTCGTTATTTGCAATGCTAAAACAGAGTAACAACATTTTAACATTTATAATTCCTGTTAGGGTTTTTAGTCTAATGGCTACAAGTTTAGAAATTTTCTTACGTAAAAACCTCACAGAAGGTTAGGGTTTGATGCCTTATGCTAGTACAGACCCCAGCCTACTGCTGAGATATTAAGATATATCCCACTGATTTTTTTTTGTTTTTGTTTTTACATTTCTACACAAAAACAATTTTAAGGAAAGAAAATGCATTTTATGAAGGTACAAGTTAGTGACCTACCTTATCAACATTCATTCGCTTAAATGATGCTTGCAGAAGTTTAAAATTGTGAATATACTCATGCTCCAACTTTGCTTGAAATTTTACTTTCTTCAAACTAATGCAGCCTGGAAAGAGCATGTCCATGAACTGGCAATAGGCTGCTCCTGGAAAGAGACAAGAAAAGTATGGGTGTGAGTCTTACTGTCCCCAGGTGCCACCGAGGACTGCGAGGCGGGAAGGCGCTGTCTCCGCATAGAGCCCTCTTGGCCATGTGTGACCCTCTCCTCACCCATTATACCCCCACCTCCACCACCCCAGTCTGGGCGTGAGAGGGAAGGGCCATGCCTCAGTGTAGCCCCTGCCACTTCCTCACTCCTGAGCACTACGGTATTGATGTAGCGTTCACCATAGCATCATCAGATGCCATCGACAACAAACACAACCTCATACTTTAATGTCGAGGAAATTGGGGTAAAATAACTCTTCTTAGCTTCTACCGGAAAAAAAAGGAACTGATTTCTTCTTTCATCTAGCTCCAAAAGTATTAAAATACATAAATGTAAGATAAAAATAGCAGAAATTCAAACATGAGGAAACTACTCAAGTTCTCATGAAATGAGCAGCTCAAAAAATACACACATGTCCAAGCTGTTTTACATCCATTTTATAAAATGGCTTAGGTGAAACTATAACTAAGCCATCTAATACCAAAAACAGTTGTATTCCAATTTAATTTCAGTCCAGAGCAATGGGATTCCCATATTAACATGAAGGATGGAGACTGAAACCTACAGAAGTTCAGAGTCATGCTGTTTATGACTGAGGAATAAAAATAACAGAAGCATTCAATGAGTCCCCTGAGGAAATGGTCATAGAAAAAAGGGCTTATTAGGAAGCCTTTGATTTTTTTTTTTTTTATGTAGAACTTAGATCATGACAATTTCAACTAGAAAATTCTTACCAGATTATGTTTACTGATTCATATCTCCTTTATAGTAAAGTCTAAATACAGTCAGAAAAAGAAATTCAAAGTCAGAATGATTATTTTTATTTTACAAGGAGGAAAGCAATTGAGGGCGGCCATTTCCGTGTTCTTTCCTTCTTTGCTCTCCAGATATCTGGGTCTATTTCTATAATGCACCAATAATGGTGCTTTCTGGAACAAGAGGGGCTCCTTTCATCCTTTGGTATCAAGGTCTCTGTGAGAAGCCTTTCATTCCATTCAGGTGACTCACCTTTACATAGGAAGAACCCACTAGGTCTCTTATGTCAAATAGACATCAGGCATCCTATATTGAGATAGGAATCCTAGCTAAGTGTAAACAAGAAATCAGGGCTTAGTGTAAGGGCTGCTATACCACGAAATGGTATGGCAACTGTTTGTAGATAAGAGCATCAAGTGATGAAATATGGGCCGCAATAACTATGTCCTGCAGAATCTTTACATCTGTGATGCTTCACCTTAGATACCAGTACCTTAAATGCTAACTAGTAAGTACATCTCCCATCAAGCAGATGGGTCCTTTTAAAAACAAGACAAAATAAAACAAACCAAAACAAAAGACATCAGAGGACGTAAGAGAAACATCATGATTTTGGGTGTGTTCTTAGAGTCATCATCCAACTATTCAGGTCTTCCTTTTGAAGTGCCACCGGATGGGGCGTATTCCAACGGCCACTTTAACATTATTTTCATAGAAATGGGGGTGCCTAAATACAACAGTTTCATTACCTGCTCTTTCAAGAGTTGTTTTCACTTTCTTCCCTGGCTGGTGTGGCTCAGCAGATTAAGTGCTGGCCTGTGAACCAAAGGATTACTGATTCGGTTCCCAGTCAGGGCAGATGCCTGGGTCACCGGCCAGGTCCCCAGATGGGGACTTGCGAGAGGCAACCACACATCGATGTTTCTCTCCCCCTTTCTCTCCCTCCCTTCCCCTATAAAAATAAATACAATTTTAAAAAAAGTTATTTTCACTTTTGTAGAGTTTAGCATAAAATTCATCTATGGAGAGCCAGATACCTTTGTATTCTTGCTCACTTTCAAAATTTAAAAATAGCGCTTGAAAAACAACAATAAACTTCAATAGAGGGAGGGAGAGTGGGAGGCAGGGAGAGAATGCGGGAAAGAGAGAAGAAAGGCAAACTCATCTTTAGTCATTATCCAGAGAAAAATCACTGTTTATGTTCTGGTATGTACTTTAAAAAAATTTTTAACAGACCATGATTCCCTTTATGAGTCATATAATATTCTCTACTGCCATTTTTAATGGCTTTCTCATTTTTATGTCATGCTTAGCAAATTTCCCAAACCAAGATTACATAAATGTTCACGTGTGTTTTCTTCAAATACTTTTATGGTCTCAAGCTTTACATTTACATTCTGAATCCATGTGGAATTTATTTTGGTCTATGATATATACAGGATGGTTTTAATTTTAGTCATTCCAAATGTTAGTGGAACTCTATCATTTTTGGCTCTCCAGCATTTGGGCAGCTTTTTACTTCAGTTGATGCTATAGTGCCCTGCCTCCCACCAGAATAGCGAAAGCGGGCAGACATCCCTTTCCCCTATGCCCCAGTGGGGAAAATGCACGCCCATGACCCAGGCTCTGCATTTGGATGCTCGCCTGGGTATTAGGGTCTTGAGGGAAGACAAAAACATGCAGGAACCATTAGAATGGAGTCGTGGTGGCAGTGGTGGGATTTGGCGCACTTAAACAGTGACAGCAGCACCATGGCATCCTAACCAGCCTAGTCCAGTCGCATAAGGCAGGTTGTGCTCCTTTTGCCAGTAACATACTGTCTTGATCACTGTAGGTAATCAGTTTTGAAATCAAAGGTAGAAGTCTTCCAACTTTGTTCTTCCTTTTCAAGATTGTTTCAGCTCTTCTGAGTCCCCTGCATTTCTGTATTAATCTTAGAATCAGTTTATCAATTTCTGTAAAAAGGAGGCTGATATTTTGATAGGAGCCAAATTAAAGCTGGAGGTTAATTTGGGGAATAATGTGATCTTAACAGTATTAAGCCTTCCAATCCATGAACATGGGATATCTTTCCACTTATTTCATTTCTTTCAATGATGTTTTAAAGTTTCCAATATATATTTCTTGCACTTCTTTTGTTAACTTTATTACTATTTTATTCTCTTTAATGCTATGATAAATGGAATTGTAGTCTTCATTTTGAGATTGCTTACTGTTAATGTATAGAAATATGATTGATTTTTGGATATTTATCTTGTATCCTGAAACCCTGCTTAATTCATTTATTAGTTATAATAGCTTTTTGGTTTCTTAGGATTTTCTATGTACAAGATCATGACAAATTCAGTGCTACTTTTTCCTTTCCAAATTGAATGTCTCTTATTTCTTTCTCTTGTCCAATCACCCTGGGTAGAACCTCTAACACAATATTGAATACAAGTGCTTAAAGTGGATACTCTTGGTTATTCCTGATCTTAGGTTATTATCTAGTTTTTCACTGCCTAATATGTTAGCTGTGGATTTTTCACAGACAGCATTATTGGACTGAGGAAGTTCCCTTCTAACCCTAGTTTTTTAGTGTTATCATGAAAGGGTGTTTACTTTTGTTAAATGCTTTTTCTGCATCTACTGAAGTTGTCATGTGGCCCTTCTCCTTTATTCTATTAATATGGTACATTATATTGGCTGCTTTTCATATGTTAAACCAACCTTGCATTAATTATAGTTGATCATGGTATATAATCTTTTTAATATGTTTCTAGGTTTATTCTGCTAATATTTTGTCGAGGATTTTTGTGTTGGTATTAGTAAGAGATAATGATCTGTAGTTTTCATATATCCTTGTTCTGTTTTAGAATCAGGGTAATACTAGCCACACTGAACGAGTTGGAAAGTGTTCCTTATTTTTTAGAAAAGTTTGTCGAGGAATGGTGTTAATTTTTCTTTAAACATTTGGTAGAATTCTACCAAATGAGTTACATACCAGATCATGACATGTAACATGATCTTTTAGATATAACATCATGTCATACTTTCTAGAGTCAAAGGGGCCCCTGAGAATTTTCAAGAAATATCTTATTGGACTTTGGGAATTATGTTGAAGATTTATTGCTATTGCTCCCGGGTATGTCCATTTGAGCAGTTTCAACTTCTGATTCCCCAGATTGCTAATGCTTAAGAGACATTACGTAAAGGATACCTTGAAATTAATTTTGCTACTAACACCACCATCAAGGGTTCTTCTTGGGAAAGGAAACCATACTAAGGCATCACCTGAACAAGGCTGTTGTATTTTGATTCCTATTTAAGGCTCACCCTCTATTTGTACTCTGGATCACATCTCTCACCTTCTCATTGATGTCAGTCATGCAATTACTCTCATTCTCTCCTACAATGTCATTTTTTTCTCTGTATGGATTATTCTTAATGAATACAAACATGCTCTGATATCAATTGACTTTGTCAAAACAAAATTAAAAAAAAAAACCTTCCTAATTCCACATTATTCTTTGGCTACTGTACCATTTAGCTCCTCCTATACATAACAAATCTTGACAATATTGTTCCTATTTCCATTGTTTCACCTACCATTCAAACCAAGTCAATTGCCTTCAATAGCTTCTCTGTTATCAAATCTAACAATCACTTTTCTTTCTTCATCCAACTCAATCTTTGAATGTTTGGCCTTGTTACCCACTCCCTCCTTCTTGAAATTCTATGTTTTCTTCCTTCATCAGATAAGCCAGCCATTGCCATTGTCCTGGAAGTCTAGCCACCCACAAATAGGATGTTCCTCATTGACAGGTGTCAGATTTTTGGGTCACTTTATTAACCTTGCAAAAACGTGACCTACATTTTGCACTGCTCTCACTTTCATCACATTATGTCAAGGTTACCGTTATTCAGATCAAGTACCTTCCCTTGCTAAGGATACTGCAGTGGATTCCTAGAAAACTACTAAAAAGTCCTAACTGTTTCCCTGGCCTCCTGTCCTCTGTCCACTTCTCCCTTGCCTAATTGCTTTTTAGGGAGCTTTCCCTCGGCCTTCCTTGTTTTACCTAGAACACCTCAGGTCTGTTCCTGCCTTGGGCGGTGTCCCCTGGAACTCCACATTCTTCGTGCCGTTCAGATCAAGGCTTAGATGTCTTCTCAGAGAGGCCCTCCCTTTCCATGCCATCTGA